CCCCTTGCTGCAGGCAGTTCCCGAGGAGGATGTGCTTGCCTGTCAGCTATTTTTATTAGCATTTGTGCTAAAGCAGTGGTCATGAACTCCTGGCACACATGCAGGATTAGCAGCCTCACTGCTGGCCAGGCAAGAGTACAAGAGGACCCTGGTCCCACCCTTTCTTCCCAGTTGTTGGCCCCCATCAGGTCCCAGGGTGAGCAAGTACAGGAGAGAGACGGGCTTTGCCTCTCCTCAGCAGGGGGAGAGGAGCTGGGAGAAACTGGATTTGGAAAGGACGGGTGGGAATAGGTGACTGGGAGCTGGAGGTGATGTGAAAGGGTTTGCTACTGCTGATCTGCAGGATGAAACTGGGCTCCAGCCCAAGGCTGGAGATTTTGGCACCTTCACCTGCAGATCAACTCCTCCTTGCTGAAGGTTACCTCTTCTCTCTGGATTTTGCACATTCACCCTCTAATCTGCCGCATCAGCACAAAGCCCACTCAGCCCACCAGAGAGAGGCAAGAGGGCTGGAGCAGCCGACGTGAGGAGCTGGCAACCTGCGGTCGGGGTCAGTGTTTCTTTCCTGCTACTCTCCTCCTCCAGTGCTGAAATATAAAAATGAATGCAGCTTTCTTCATAAGTATGGATTCTCCCACCCCCAACACTTTTTCTAGCATGGGGATGGCGCTCAGGGATGGTGCTTTGCTCTGTTTTCGCAGGTGTCTCATCCCCAGGCAGGGGTCCTGGGCCAGCTGAACAGAGCCACGGTTGCCTCACTCTGCACCCAGCTCCCCATGGGTGCCAGAGCCCGCCTGGACCTGTGCCGGTGCCCCGGTGCTGGGCAGCCTGCCCATCCTCGGCCCGCTGCGCTGGAGCTGCTTTCCCTGCCCCCTTTAGTCTGGCAAGCCGGCTTGTTCAGTTGGGGGGCTGGGATGAAATTTCCCATGAATGACCCTGGCAGGGACCCTGTGTGATTTTAATTTTCCAGCCAGGGGAAGGCTGCCTACCCGCTAGGGTGGTTGAATGTTTTTTGCTTCCTTCACTCCTCTCCCCTGCAATACCTGAGCGGCAGCTTCCTGTCCTGTAGCTGCTGGCATTCCATTTTTTGAGATGTGAAATGCTCTTCCTCATTGAAGTTTTGAGGATTTAGTGTGGCGGATTTTTTTTCAAGAAATCCCAAATTCACCTACAAATGGAGTTTTCACCACAAAAATGGGGCAATTTTGGGGAAAAAAATATGCAGAGTTCACTTTAACTTTTCAAAAATGGTTTTTCTTTGCCAGTGAAGAAGTGTTTTGGTTTTGTCACACCATGGGTCTGACAACATCCCCCGCCGCTTGTTTCACCTCCCCTTCAAATCCACTTGTGCTGAAGACTGCAAAGTCTTCCTCAGTAATCTCACATAGCGACTTGCCATCTTTATAGCCTTCACAAGTATGAAAAACTCATCCACCTGCAGAGTCCATCCCCTCAAGAGGGTCTTGTAACTAAACTCCTGGGTTTCTAACCTGTCCTGGCTCTGTTTTGGCTCTCACCTTGCCCTCCTTGTCCCATCCTTTAAGGCTCCCTGACGAGCTCTCTGAATGGCTTCTCCAAGTCTCATCTTCCTCTGTCCCCTGACACAGAAGGGGACTGGGGGTTTGCACTGCGATTTGAGATGTTGAACAAAGCAGAAACGTAAATGAGCCTGAACAGCAGCAATGTAGGAAGTCTGTGTTTTACAGTGCTTGTCAGTCTGACAGGCACGGCAAAGATGAGGAATGCCATGATGGTGACAGCGATGGCGAGGTCAAGCCTCAAGGCCTCCTTTGGACAGGGATGAACAAGATCAAAATGGAGGGCACCACATGAGGGGTAAAAATGAGGTAATTAATGACAGAAGTGAAGGTGATCATTACATTGCTGCTCCCAGAGTCCTCAGTGAGCAGAGCTTGTGAGTCCTTCATTTGGTGAAGTCCCCCCTCCCATGGAGCAGGCAGGACAGGCTCCAAAGAAAAGCACACACGCGGGATGAGAGGTGCTCAGGCCAACTGTGCCTGTGGTGTGTGTGGGACAGGACCCTCAGGCACCACAGCTGTCAAAAGGAAGGGACCAGGATCGTACCCAGCAGAGAAAACGATGCCCGGCACCAAATTGAGACAGCTGAGAAGCTCCCCTGAAACTGCAGGTGACTGCAGGTCCATTAGTGTTGGCATGGAGGTCACATTGGCGATGGCCAGGTTTAGGACATATACACAGTTAATTTGGTCCTCTTCATCCTGGAGCACAGAAACCAGAGGATGATACCATTCCCACTGAATCCCAAAGTGGTGGTGGGAAGCACTCACCTGACAAGGACTGCCTTCAGAAACAACACGCTGCCTTCTCAGCCCTTGGATTTGCTGGGTCTGTAATGAGGGACAACCTGGTGTTTGACTCTGCCATGGTGTCACTTGAACTGAGAGCTGTTTTCTCTGTCAGCAAGCAGGGGGTGTTCTGCCATCAGTTTGCATTACTGGAGCTGAGGGAAAAATATCACCATCTTATTACCAAATAGTTTAAAAGTTCATAGGTATTATAATTCAGAGAGATTGCAAACAACTTAATTTCTCATGAATCCAATGTACTGGGAACAGAATAGACTCTGAATGTTACTTTAGTTAAACAAATTGCTTCACCAAAGGAGAAGTGGGTTTATCAAACACCCCAGAGTTAGAGCCGATAGGCATTTTGTACTGCATATTCTATCAATAGCAGCTGGTTAACTGAGTGATTCCCAGTTCCCCGTTATAGCAGGGTTACAAAGATCTCCGCTCAGGCAGGAAAAGGGGAAGGTAAAAATAGTTTCTTGCAGAGAGAAAGCTGCTTGTTGGAGAGGACATCTGCAAAGGTTAGAAATAAAATTCTGCAAGTTCTGCAAACGTCCACGCTAACAGTATTGAGCTGATGGCACAGCAGAAATTCTCTTTTAAATAGCACTGCGTGCAAAGAAATAACTAGAAAAAAATAAACACGATGTGGGCCTACTGATCTTATTTGTGCGGACGAGTATTAGGAATCCAGAGCCCCAAAGCAACGAAGGATGCTTCTTCTCTTGTGACAAAGACCCAGCAAATGTGACCATGTTAGCAAATTATCTGTATTACAGTATGCTTCGTCAGCTACTAAGTACTTTTCGTGGAAACCAATCTGATAAAAGCATAACTGTCGTCAAAGAAAAAAATCACCACAGCTAGATAAAGTCTTGTTTATGTAACTGAAAAGTTTGTAATTTTTTAGAGCACACAAAGTCATTGATCAAAATTATTTGTGTCCCTCTGTGTTAAAACGGCAATTAATGCATTGTGTTAACACATAAATATATACAAACATTTATACAACACTCAGCGTGCCATTTGATCTTGTGCCTTTTGCTGTCTAGTGTAGTTCGCTCCTATTTGTATAGGCTTGGAAAAAAAGTACTGAGTAAAAGTACCAAGCACAAAGTACCAAGCATCTTGTACCCCATTTATGGTAATAGCAGCTGCTAATGTTCCATGCTTTGTGGGACTAGGGCCTACATTTTCCACGAGTCATGAACTTGCTTGTAATTTGTCTCCAAGGATCTAACCCGGGGTGCAACACTGATCCCTCCAGCTCTGGTGTGCTGATTTCAGTCGTTCTCCATGCCCAACAGAAAAAGGGGAGAGCTTGTTTGCTTTATAGGCTTGTGCTCCCCGGGGCTGTGTCTCAAAGCAAGGAGACAGAGCCTCGACGCCTCGAGCTGGGTACTCAGCTCTGTCACCGTGACCTTCTCCAGCGCGTCTGGGGTTATCTTCTGTCAACATAGCGAAGCACCGCCTTATCAGCCTGCCTTTAGAGAGCTAACAGGGAATGCCCAGGGGCATTTTAAAAGTATATAAATAAGAATAAAACCCTACCATTGCTCTTTAAAAATGAGACTATGAAAACTGAAGGGGGAAAAAAAATATTTCAAGTTTGGGATGAGATCTTTATTCTGGTGCATTTGATCTCCCAGTTTCGAACGAAATGGCAAAAACCCTTTAGGCTGTTTAAATACGTCTTTGTATGCTCCATTAATTAAAAAAACTCAGAAAAATTTGGGTATTAGATGCCATTGGTTTAAAACAATAAGCCAACCAGTATTACAATTCAAATTACTTTTCTTCTTCCATAAGCAAAGTAGGCCAGGGGGCATTTACCAAGACTCTTGTTTTAATGCTTACAGCGCCCACACCTCCCATCCCCACGTCGTCCTCCTGGGGCAGAGCATGAGCCCTGCGGCAGCCTCACATGCTTTGTCGACTCCCTTGAAGGAGGAGCTGGGGTCACAGGGGCGTACACTTGCTATTGCATTTGTTTAAGGCTGCTCTGGTCTCCAGGGAATGGCAGGAGATGGCCGCCTTCTTTCTCAGACAGCTCTCTTGCTTGCAAGGCTTGCAAAACGAGGCAAATGGGACGCTGAAGGCTCCACTGGTTGTACGGGAATTGAAAGTCCCAGACATACCCATGAACTAGATTAAAGCTAAACAAGCAGACTTTATTAGTACCACTGCTGCAGACACAGCGCTTGAATCCACAATTCCCAAGAGCGGAACAGATGCAAAGGAGAATATACTGGGGTTTTTTTGCAGTAAACTGAAGTGAGATCGTTAATGTGCTGAAGTGAGTGGGAACAGAGGACTAGAAGGGAGCTCGTACTTTCCAAAGCCCAATTTCTTGTTATTACCTTAAAAAGAACCAAACAAAAAGCCAAACCCACACCGTATTTAAGCTGATCATACCCCTTCATAAAATTATTCAGGATTTTCTGCCCATTCTTCTCACAGCTTGTCCAGAAACCACGGTCCTCTGAGGACAGTTTCCAGCCCAGATGCACTATCATGCTAGAGGTGATACAATCTTGTCAGCCAGGCCAAGGCACTCCGAAACTTTTAGATAATGTCTGACATGAGTAATTATGTCATTTCCTAACCGGAGGAAAAAAAAAACGTGCTTCACAGGCAGTTTTCCTCAGTTTTGCAGAACAAACACTTAAATCAAGATTCAAGCAAGTTTCAGGCTGGGTCCTGTTCCCAGTCAAGCTGAGGGGTGTAGCTTTGCTGGAGGTTTCGATGAGAGCTGCTGCAGTAATTAAAATTTTTAAGTCACATGCTTAAAAATAATTGCTTTTACCTTGAATAATGCCAGCGTGCTAATTTTTGCGGAAAATGGGTAGTTGTGCATGTGAAGAATTGCACAACTTCAGCGGCAGCCACCGTGCTCGTGGTGAGGGGAAGCCCGGCTAATCCAGCTCATGACTTCTTCGCCAAGAGGGTTAGTGATGTCCCACGGTCTGTAGATGAGCCGTGTGGGAGGAAGAGCGAAAGGCAAAGCCAAGGACCATCACCACGTGTGCTCAGACAAGCTCCAGGGTTGACGTCGTAACTGGAGGGACAGCACAAAGCCTCCCAAAAGGTAACATTTCCTCAATGCTCAGTGAATCTAAAGGGTTAAGATGAAAGAGTAGGGTTTTTTTTTCTGCCTAAATTAGGAAAGCAAAGAAACTTCTGAGATTCCCTGTTTCATGTGTCCTGGAAGACCTGTACCAAATAAAGACTTCATGTCAACAATCGGACAAAAATAAATCGTCTGTCTGAGGTAGAAGGAGCACATTGTAAGAGGGGGGTGAAGGCAGCCCCCTGGAGCCAGCCAGTGATTTTGGAATGAGCGTGTAGAGAGAGGTTGCTGGTGGTGTGAGAGGAGACGGGCCTGAAGCAGGTTATGGTTAGACTGAGTGTGGAGACCTGCTGGGTAGAAATGCAATGATGGATGTTGCAGGGAGATACTGAAGATACGCACTCTCCATACTAGTTTTACTCGTGCTTTGAGGGCTCTGTCTGCACTGAAGTAAAGAAAAAAGTTACATGGCCTTTTTCCTTAGAGCTTTTTTCCTTTCTGTCATTCTTCTCTTTTCATTTTCCCAATCTCTCAAGCCTGGTCTGTCACTTCAAGTGGTCACAAGAAGGAAGTTAACATCTCAAGGGAGAGCTGCACAGCACGTAGGTGATGAGAGAAAGCATAAAGGGAGAGGAAATTTTTTTTAAAAGCTGTGGACATTGGAGTAATATGGAGGACAAAGGAGGCACAACAGTCATTTTAGCACTGCTTATTCTGCTCCTTTTGCTTGGTCCAGTTCAACGCAGGGCTGAAAGTCTGAAGCCAATGCAATGGCAGAAATACTATTTTAAGATCTGTTTGTTTTCAAATGAGCTGTCAAACAGATGATTTGGCAGCCCAGGACTTTGCCTAGCCCCAGGAGGGCATCTCTGGCTTCTACATCCATCAGATTGTAAAGTTACCCAAGAGTAGAAGGGACCAGGGCAGAGGCCCAAAAAGGAAATGCTTCCCCTCCTTTCCCCAGAAGTGTTTCCAAATCCTCATCTGAGAGAAACAGCTTGGCTTTGGCATATGAGAAAGAAATGACCCTGGAAGGGAGGGGCCACCTGTGCCTATTCCAGAAGGATTTTGACTCTTATGCAACGTTTTGTATGGAAAGAAAGGCTTTTCAAAGCACAAACACGTAATTTGCCTTGCGGTGCTACAACAGCCATGTCCGAGAGCAATACAAGGGGCTGATCTGCTTGTGATACAAGGGTGTATTTGAGATATGGGGGGAACAAGCAAAAATATGAGTATTGCCACTCCGGAATATTGTGATGGTTACTGCAGTCAGGGAGTGCTCTCGGCTGTGAATTAGGGCAGAGAATGTATCTCCTGTTGCATTAACATAAAGGCTCTGGTTTTGGAAGCCAGAAGGTATAATTAGGCTTACTCAATCACATGTTTCTACCAGGGAAGTCTGTTTCACCACTGACACAAGGGGGTGAATGCTTGAAAAGCCTGGCCCTGTTTTGCCTGGCACGACATGCCTCCAGGAAACCCGCACCTACAGCTTGATGATCATCGCGAGAAAGATATGCATTTGCAATTATGGGACAGACAGTGCCACCCCCTCAGCTGTTTCTTCCCAACTGATGAACATGTGAAGACTGAAGCATTTAAGCCTTGATTGAATAAAGTGCCTGAACTCAAGCTTGAATTTAGATGATGTGATTTAAGCCATGCACTCATGCCCATTGAGCTTACCTTTCAGAAGCCTTAGTGGTGTGTATACCACACAAAGCCTTTGTATTCAGAGGCTCCACCCTGATCCCATCCTCAGGTAGGCATGCCAGCTTGCTTAAGTAGCTGAGAAGATGTGAAAACCCCCTGTAAAACTAGTTAGCTGGGATCAGGAAGCACCCCATAGCCTGGGGCTCATTCCATGTTGCTTGGCTCACAAATTCTGTACCGTAGTTTAACTCTGCCAAAACAGGATTAGCAGATGCACATGGAGACTATCACAGGTGATAGGAACAAAAACCACATGTTTACAGGTCCTGGCCAGCATCCTCCCATATTGCTGCCTCTGTCACAGCACAGTCATCAAACCGATGGTCATGATCCAACAGACAGGGACTCCAGTGACCCGTCTGCCACGTGAAGGATGAACCCCGCTGCCTCATTGCCCTGATGTCGTCCGAAAAGAGGATTCATGGCCTGGTGTGCAGTAAGTCAGTTGTCACACTCAGGAGAAACATTGCGTATTTATTTCATTTCTGCAGATATGGGTGCTGGGTGGTACCTCCACAAAGCTAGCACACCTTGGTCATCAAACAGCAGCTTTTCATGCACTCAGAGCAACAGTTATTGGTTATTTCGTAACGGTACCTAATCACATCCCTTTCTTATTGGCTCTCACAAGCTTCACATTCATTTAAAGCTACAGTGTCCTTTCTTTCTACTACACGTGCCCTGTAAGGAAGGGTCTAGATTTGGACAAGGGTCGTTTGACCTGGGGGTGTGATTTTTAGTATTATAATGAGGGTAGTTCAGCTGAGGGTACATGGATCTTGGGTTTGCTTGCCAAGTTTTAAATGTTTTCAAAACATCTTGATTAGGTGTCCTCTTCAGGCTTACTTGCCCCAGGATGTCTTCATTCCACAAGTATCAACAATACCTTCCTCTGATTAAAAGTCCCCATTATTATTTACAAAGTACATCTGGTATCAAAACGGTTAAAATTTGCTGAGCTATTCTTTAACACTGACATGGTGCTGCATGTGGCTCTCAGAGTAACAGGCCACTGTCTCCAAAGCTCTCCTGGAGCTCCCCATCACACACCGATCACCACCAGTCTACGGAGGCAGGAGAGGGTGAGTGCCAGGACCTCCCTCATCATCACTGTGCAGGGTAGATCCTTTAGCACCACCTTCTAAAATTCATTCATCTGCACGCTCCCCGGCACCAAGGCAAGCCGCGGCAGTGGCAGGCAGGGGGGGTAGCGCACACCAAGGATGCCACGGTGGCTCCGTGCTGGTGCCAGATGTCTGCACCTTGTCTGCAGGGCCAATGGGGCGCTGCTGGCCCAGAATGGTGGTGACCTGCCGGTGGCTGACTACTTTGGGACCATTTCCTTGCTCCGTGCTTTTGCAGTTCTGCTCCTCTCCTATTAATTCCAGTATATCATTTACAGGGCAGGTAGCGCACACCAAGGATGCCACGGTGGCTCCGTGCTGGTGCCAGATGTCTGCACCTTGTCTGCAGGGCCAATGGGGCGCTGCTGGCCCAGAATGGTGGTGACCTGCCGGTGGCTGACTACTTTGGGACCATTTCCTTGCTCCGTGCTTTTGCAGTTCTGCTCCTCTCCTATTAATTCCAGTATATCATTTACTTGAAAAGGAGGGGGCAGCCTATCACCCCTCTGGCGCCTGTTTCAGGACTCTGTCCCTGGAGTCACCTGGCAGCTCTGAAGGATGGCACTCGATCTCTATGCGGTGTCGAAAGACAGCTCTGGTTTTTGTCTTCAACCACCGCAATGTCTCCAAAACTTTCCAGTGAAAGAAAGAGATGCAGTCCATCTAGTTATTTTACTAACCGCTTTACCTGCTTTTTTCCTTCTGACTAATTCGGTGTCTACACCGAATATTCTAGTCTACCTAGATTATAGGTATATACTATAATCTGGTTACCGATGCTTCGTTCCCCCTTCTCTGTCACCAAAAAAACAACACCAGAAACTAAGCCTTTCTTCACCTGGGAGTGTAGCGAGTTTAATTTTGCCAAGATATGTGTATGTGTATAAATATTATGCATATTATATACTATACAGTCATCTGGAGTATTGGTACATTCAGCCTGACAAGCAGGCGCTGCCTAGGTCTGCGACTGACACCTCGTTACCTCCTTCCGTCAATCTGTACTTGGTGGAGAACTAAGGAAACAGCTTTGCCAAGAATATATCTCAGATCAGAGCCCGATTTCTTTGTACCACAGCAGAACAGTCCGCATGACAACGTAGGTGGAGAAAACTCAATCTGTTATGGGTATTAAGTGTGCCTTGAGTCACGCCTGTAAACTCTGCACCCAAATGAGAATGTATATTCCTACCAGTGGGAACGTGGGTGCATGTAAACCACAACAAGGTATTAAAAGATTAGGCCAGGAACTGGGAAAAAAAAAAACAAAACAGGACAGTGAGGCAGAGAAAAAGGACAGATGATATAGAGCTGCCAACCTTCTAACTTTTTAACCCAAGTGCCTCGTGAGCTGTTAAAGTGCAGTTAAGTGCTTCCTTGCCAGACTATATCCCGTGGTTTTTACTGGGACTGTGTTGACTTGGGGTCTGGTGGTAACCTGAATTTTTCTGTGCTGCCCTGGCTCCCCTCTGCATAGCCAGCTCAGCCCCACTCCATCCCACCGTGGGTGCACCGGCAGACACGAGTGCCTACCCAGGACATGCCCTGAAGCCCTTCCTGCGGCTGGCTCTGCAGCAGCCAGCAGCACCTATTGCACGGCCAAGAGCCACGCAGAAATGCTGGTGTGCTGCTTACAGGGCAGGAAAAATCATGTGTCCTTGAGATCAAAAGATAAAGGGAAAGCATGTCAAGGAAGAAAAAGCATAGTCCTGGGAAATGTGTTCAAAGGAAATCGAGGCAGCAACAGTCCCTAGAGGATCTAAATTCTGAGCAAAATATTTTTTATTAACAAAAGACTGAGACTTCAAGTGAGTCTGAACACATTTTAGTTGCTAGAAGTCCCTGTTAAGGGGAGGGAGAATGCGGTGGTGTCTTTAACCTCTCCACTGCAGAGGAAGAAGGAACCTGACGTTTTGATGCAGGAAGAAGAAGTGGAATTCCTGAAAAATGCAGAACTTCAGTTTCTTTATCTCCAGCTGCAATTCAGTTAGTTGTTGTTCACTCCCTAACTTATTTTGTGTTATCTCAATTCCGCAGAGCAAACGCTGTTACCAAACCAACCTATGAACAGAAGAGGACAAGTCAATGCTGTTTCTGGAAGCAAACTGATGACACAGCCAATATAGATGTTCCTGAGAAGCTTTGGCAAGATGTACTGCCACGTCACTGTGGGAGCTAGAAATCCTGAACCTGGAGTCCTCAGGAGCAGCCTGTGTTCAGGTGCAGAGGCTGAATTGTTACCTGGTTTACTGACACTGATTGCCATGGCTTCCTGATGACTTACCACAGCTGAGCATCTTGTCCCATTTCTGTGGCAGGTATAAAGGAGAACGTTGGAAAAGGTGGAAAAATAAAAACCAGCCAAGATCACTTGTTTTTACTGTAATAGAATCAAACTCTGTTCTTATCGTGTTAGTGAGGTTGAAGTAGTAGGTGAGTTCCTTGTATTTTTAATATTTATATTACTATGCCAGCTAAGCATCTCACAGATTTGAAGTTATCCTCCCAGTGCTCTCATGTTACTCCCATTTTGCAGAGGAGGAATTTTGATGAGGATGAGGAAGTCTGAGACAGAGTAAACACAGGCCTCATGATTTCTACCCTCAGAATCTTTTGTACCCTTGCTATACTCTAAAAATATCCTTTTGCAGAAATTATAATGGCTTTTTTGGTATTTTAGGATTCTTGACCCACTCCAGGTATATACGCTTGATAGAAGAGACAGGCAGTTCAATGTTTTCACTGAGTGACCTTCTGGCTTTATGCAGTAAACCTACCGCATGAGCTTGTTTTGCACTTGTGTTCAAGCTGGATCACCTTGAAAAATACGAATTATCTCTGAGTCTATATTTTGCCTTTGAAAAGAAACTAGTATTAGAAGCAGTTTAAAAATGATAGAAAAACTTTACTCAAAGGAAAATGTTTGGCTACTTGAGATTCCTCGTTTTAAAAATTCAACATTTGGGAAAAATCCTAAAGTAGAAAGAAGTATTTCCTTTCTGAAATAATGCTTTGATGCACTGTGCTCCGGTTCATCTCTGTCAGTCAGGCTCCCAGTAGGACAGCAAGAGAAAAGAGGATTGTGTTGCAGAGTCCTATTCCATGGTGTACTGTGGGAGCTTCAGCCCAATAAAGGAAAAATGAGTCAGGACAAAACTGGGCTACAGTTTCCCTGCAGAACCGCAATGTGATATCCACGATGAAACTTTGATTTGAAAACACTGAATTAATCCATGGACTTTTAGACCACCTTCACAGTTCAGATGGAAATCCATTTATTAAATCCCAGCATCACACAGCAATACACAGCTCCTTCAGTCACGTTACGGCAAAGCTCTTGTCGCTTACTGCTTATTATCTAATTACATCCGTACAAGGTAGTTACACCTGCAAGCATGCCATTAGATGACTTGTAAAGGTGTTGCACTACGGAGCTGCAGATCTATCCTGGCTGAGCCCAGAGAGTGTTCAGAAACGGCTGACAACAATTCCTATGTCATCTACCTTGATTTTTTGAAGTACTGGTGCCTCCATACAGCAGTTATCATCCTTTTAAATAATTTTCCAATAGAAGGGATCCTCAGCACCATAGCCATTTCTCTTGTGTGTAGAAGAGAGCACAGGGAGATAGGTGGACCACCAGACTTCAGCTGAAACACCACGAGTGTTCAGTGAGCCCAACCAAAGAGACTAAGGTTTCATGGTAACAAGCATCAAGGACTATACTTGACCACCTATTCCTGCAGTGCAGAGAGCAGACAAAGAATAATGGCTAACCTCTGCGGTAGGGTGGAAATGCATGTAAATGATGAATATGCCATACAGAATAAAAATAAAGGGAGGGGTAAAAGAAAGAAGACAGGCAGACTAGCACAATCGGCAGTAAAGATTAGGCAGTCTTTCCTACTAGGGCAGGCACTTCACATCGTAACTTAGTCTGACCAGCAACTCTGTTTCAAGAAGGATTTGGACATCTGTTCATTGGAACTTCCAGAAACACCACAGGTTAAAGGACAGAGCACCATGGTACCAGACCCTTCTCTCATTACCTGTACCAGTAATACAAAATGTCTTGATCTATAGAAGGTAACCAGATATAACCACACCATCTTATTTAAACCCAAACAAAGTAAAAGCTGAATTTACTGGCTACTTGGCACTCAAACTTTTTCTTGCAACCTTTTATCATGGAAAGCTCAGACTCATCTCCATCATGCGTCTCATATTTTCTAATCCTGTGACTTCTGCTTTGCACAACTAAAGCTAAAACGGTCTGAACTGCGTATACTAATTAATCATATATGACAATTCATTACTTCCATTCCTATCCTATTCTCTCCCCACTGGTTTCCTGTGTTGTCTTACATACGTAAAATGAAAATGAAGAATGAAAACACTGTTTCCTGTACTGTCTTACACTACGTCGCCGTGGTGGCCCTAACGCTCGGCAGCTGGTGGGGCTGCCAGCAGGCAGGTGTGGTGTGTGTTCTCTTCTGATGCGTGACGATGCTGGGTTTGGTGCGAGCGTTTGTGCTGTCGGTGACTTGGCCCAAGAGGGAAGTAAGACTCAGAATGATTTTAGCAAGGGTAGATCTCCGCTGGGGACAGACCCTGCTGTCCCCAAGGCAAGAGTTGCTACCTGCTACGCATGTTAGGATAAAGGGCACGTCTGCAGACAGCTGAAGAGCCTCAGAAGCCCAGGGACAGAGGAGAACTCCTCACATTCCACATGGCTGAAGACAGGAGCTGCCTCAATACGCAAGGTTTTGTGAAGGACTCGTGGCGATTTCTCATGAAGAGGGAGATGGGGAACAAAATGTTGGTGAGGCTTTGCAGGGGACGGACTGCTAACGACCAAAGGCTCAGACAGGCGAAGCATAACCAAGAGCGGATCAGAGCACAGGAAGGCGTGAGGCTGGTTTGTGAAGAAAGACGACGGCTGCTCTGTACCTCACGAAGGCCCAGGCCTCCCCTCTCTGTGACTTGGCGGGAGGCAGGCAGAGAGCGGGAACACACACCTGAACTGGCCGATTTCCCCTCCG